TTTTTTTTTTTTTTTTTTTTTTTTTTTTTTTTTTTTTTCCGGGGGGGAAGGGTGTTTTGCTGAAGTGGGAAATTAATAGGCTGTGTATGAAATCAATTCTGTAAAGGCTCAGAGTAAATCCGTAGGGAAAAACCCCAAGATTTTTTTTTTCTCACGTGTCATCCTGAATGTTTGCAATAATAGCATTTGAGCTTGTCCTGGGTAAATGTGAGTAGAGCCTTAACGTATGCTGTTGTTTGATTTTGATGTAAACTGCCGTGAAGTTCTGGGATACATGAATATTCAGAGTTTCTGTGACATTACTGTTTAGGAAAACACAATAGCGAGTGAGTGACCTTTTAAAAAGGGGCTGTGCACTACGTTCCTATAACTTCTTATTCCTGTGTTATAGTAAGTTAATGGCATCCAGTACTTGTGTTTCTTTTTCAAGATGGCCATGTCATTTCAGTGGTTTTTAATGGGGACTAATGCTTCTCCCCGTTTACAGCTTCGAAGTAATATGTTTTTCCACCTTTTTCTGATTCCCACCAAGTCAATAGTTTTGTTAACCAGCACAGGGCTGGGAGTTCATGTTAACATAGTGAACGCTTACCACTCAGTTCTCCTGACAGCAAGATAAGAGCTGGGTTTGTTTTATTTTTTCTGGGGTCTTTTTTTAAAAGAACAGGTGTCTTAAAACTTCCAAGTCAGTTTAATTCTGCCTTTATTTAGAGTTTCTGGACTGATTTTGGAGCTGGAGGGTTGGTTTAGTCTAGTGATTTTGGAGGGGTTTTATGGCTACCTAAATGTGGTAGTTGTCTCTGGCAACCTTTCTGTTGTTCTGAAAGTTCAGTTGTGTTTAGCAGACCCTTGGGCTTGCTAGGAATTTTCTGGGGTCACACAGATAACACAGCATATAACTTATGGGTTTGAATATAGCAGACATATTTCCCATGGGGTATTTTTAGTCCATATCTATTTGCCTTTACTCTAAACACCTGTTCAATGTGAGGCCATAGGTAAGGACTATGAGTAGGTAGGATGGTGTTCTGATTTGGTCTTTGGTGTAAAGTCAGATTAAAGTTCAACTGCATTTCTTAATTGGGTTGTAGTTTATTTGCAATCAAGTGCTTCTTTCTTAGAACCTCCATGTGAAAGAGTACTGCATTCTGAGCTTGACCTTTGTTTTTAGCATGACAGTAAACTGTTGATCTGTCTTTTATTAGTTTAACAGCTCATTGTAAGTCAGTGCTGATTTTCTCCATCAAAGGGTAGTGCCCACGGCAGTAGTGACAAATGGTTAATCCTGTAGAGGACTTCAGGGAAGACAGAGGGAGAGCAGGGGAACAAGGATTCAGCCTCTCAAGTACTGTAGCTCTTGAGGTGCAATGACTGCATTTCATCATGATATAGAATGGACTGGAGCAGAACTGAGCCTGTTTGGGTCTTGTTTCTTTTGCTCTTTTAGCCATGAAATAATCAACATCAATCTGAAGAATAAACCTGACTGGTTCTTTGAGAAGAACCCCTTTGGGATGGTTCCTGTTCTGGAGACCAGCAAGGGCCAACTGATCTATGAGTCCCCAATCACTTGCGAGTATTTGGATGAAGCATTTCCGGGGAAGAAGTTGATGCCTTCGGACCCATATGAGCGAGCCTTTCAGAAGATGCTCTTGGAACATTTCTCAAAGGTACTGAGCACTCAGGGTGTGATTGTGTTTCTTGCTTTACCATATCACCAAAAACTGCAGCTCTCTTGCCAATGCTGCTTTCATCCTTTAAAGCAGGTCTTGTGTCTGGGAAAAGCATTTAACTTACCAGAGGAGTTATTTGGGGTCTCGTGCTGCGAGCACATACAAACCACTGTGTGTCTGAATTGCTCCCAGCATTTATGCTCAGGGATGGATGCAGGAAGACAGCCGAGCTAGTGAAAGTGTATATGCTGAGACAGGATTTTGAGCATCCTACAAAAGAGCAAAGGTTAGTAGACTAAACCAGCTGAATGCTTGAAACCTATGCAGTGACGCTTGCTGTATTTTGATCTGAGTCTTTCTGTAGGAAGTACTGTATGAATGCGGAACGTGAAGAGTGCCTGACTGAGAGCCTACAACCATGGACAAGAGGTGGCAGGTGGCTGTAGATGTGGAACCTGTATAAGGAAACTGGTTTTGGCTCTCAGTAGTGGTTGGAGTTGGGCTTTGTGGCTGACTGGAAGTAACCTCTCTGTACAAGCATGTGCTTTGAATGGTCTAGGAAGTGAAAGAAGTGAGCTTGGATATGAGGAAGTAATGGAAGTTGCAAAGAGATGTGAACAAAGAAGGGGGATAGAAGTGAGGATATATTTAAAACTGACCTTTCTGAATAGGCATGCTAGGAAAAGGGTTACAGGGAAGCATGTTGCAAGAAACAAAACATGCACTGAATGTTGGTTGTATGAATAACAAGATCTTAGAAAAATGTTTGTCTGTGAGCTTTTAACAATATAGCTTGGCCAACGGGCATCTTCCTGGTACTATATGCTCATTTCTCTGGCAATTACCAAATTAGAAAATGCACAGGTTTGTAGAAGCCTGCTTATCCTAGACTGCATGTCTCTTTCATAAAGTACCTTAAATGATGATAATTAAAGTGCCTTTGGATTTCAGAAATATGTAACTGGGAAAAGAGTACCACTCTGCACCTTGCTACTTTTTTCGTGTGTACAAATGGGAAATGTACTCCTCTTTTCATTGTTCTCTTATTACAAAACTAAAATTCATTAGTATTTGCATTTGTTCTTCCTTTAAGCCTTTGCTTACCTTTTCTGAAGAATAAAAGATTTTTGTTAATGCATTTTATTTAACTTTAGTATCTTAACATCTTAAGCTCTGAGTCACTTGTATTATTGTAAAAGGAACATTAAAAACTTTATCCTTTCCTTTGTATAGATAACACCCATAGTTTTCAAGTATTTTGTGGCCGTCAAAGATGGACAGGATGCCACGGCGCTGAAAGCAGAGATTGCTGAAAAGTTTGGCAAACTCGAAGAGGTAGGAGTTATTGAGTCATAATGTGCAGGTTGCCAGTCATTATGTGATCCCTTTTTTCTTTCATGCCTTGGCCTTTGGAGCTCGAACTCTTCTCCTTCAGTTGGTAGTTACAGCAAGGAACAATCTTTCAATTTGCTCCCCCCAGCCTAGGATGCACACTAGCAGCACCACTAGAGCAAATTTCAAGTAGCTAACCTAAACTTCATCTGTATGATGAAGGCTATGTGGACTTATGGAGTGGGTTTTTTTTTTTAAGTTCCAGCTGACTGCTGTTGTCTTAAATATCTTTGTAGTGCTTTAAATGTAAGGAGCCCTTGCAGCATATTCTAAGAGCAGGGCTGAGGAGTCCAAGCTGCTGGAAAGTGCAATTGTGCTGTAGCTCTGCTGAAATCAGTGCAGATACACTGGTGATGAAATAAAATATTTTTTGTTCAAGAGTTTATCTTTGGGGGGGTGGTGGGAAGCAGAATGTAATCTGTCCCTTGCAGAAATCCAGCCCTGGGCTGTGTTCTCCTACACATGTTGTGATGCACCTTCAGCAGAGCTATGGGAAGTGCCAGGTGGCTTTGATGCTGCATTGGGAAATTCACAATCCTGATTTAGCATCAGTATTGTTCTTGGCTAGTCTGAACAGCTGTCAGACTTGCCTTTATCATAGCAGCCACGACTAATGCTTGTCTGGCTCAATAAAGAAGCATTCCTCCAGCGTGTTTCTCTTCAGGTTCAAAGCTACTAATAGCTCTCTAGTACTTTCCTAATTCTAACAGTCCTGTGCATCCCACTTACCCACCCCCCTGAGTTGCCAAAGTAAAAGTGTTTTCAGAGTAGTCTTGTCTGGCTGATCAGGCTGATGCTGGATTAGTGCAGATGACAAATGAAATCTTGGGTGAAGCCATGTGTGTTTCACAGAAATACAGATCTGTTAAACAATAAGGAAGAATTAACCTTCTTCCTGCTTTATTAATGCTGTGAAATTCTTGCTGCTCATTCGGTGTCTCTATTTTACGATACCCTGAAGGATTTTACAGCAGCAGCTGAAGGTCAGCTGAGGATGAGAGGAAGGAACAAAGCCATGTAAACCTCACTCAGCCTATCGCAAGAGCAATTCAGGAAGTGTTTTGAAACACTTGTGTATTGAGTTTGCTGCTACCCAGCAGAGGGAGCTGCCTTCCCGTCTCTGCAACCGTGCAATGTTGGGTTGTGTTCTGCCAGACACCTGGTAATTCAAACTGCTTGATGCTTCCTGAAGGCTGCCTTAAAATTTCTACTAGATCATGGGGGTTAGGGAACAGGGAGTAAATGCCATAGGAGTATAGTGTTGTGTGTCCAAAAAGACATTGTGAGGTCTCAAGTTCTGCCTTAAAAATGTTGATGTGCCTGAAAAGAGAGGGACTAGTCTTATGAAAGAAGAGACCAAGCTCTGGAGGTTTCTTAATCATGTTCAACTTGGATGACCACTGCACTTGAAATGTGTCTGATGAAACATAAATGTAACTGGAAAACTTGCTGCATTCTTTGTGGCCCTGCCTTCTGTGCTGAACTGTAGGGAATCTCTTCCTGGTGTGTGTGGATGTTACACTTGCTTCCCGTTCCCTTTGCACCTGGAATCAAATCCTGTTCTACACACAATGTGTTAAATGCTTTCCCGACATCACTTTGCCTCAAGTGCCATGGGAAAAGAGTTCATTCTAAAACGGTGCTCTGGTTTATCTGGATGTTAAATTTAGCTGAATTTATTGCTCAAGAAATGCATGTGCATTGTTATGTGTGATTAGTCTGTGCCATTAATGCTTTTTGACAAGTAAGAAATCACAAACCAACAGATTCTGAGAGCTAAATTCCTTTTTGCTTGTGCACAAGCTGCAGCTCACTAGTGATTAATATTTTGTGACAGTTTTTGAACCTCTGGAGAACTGCTGGACTGAGTGTATGAAATACTTAAGCTTGATACTACAGCTGCTTTACTGAGTAGCTCTGACTCCTCAGATATTGTGTGCACAGGAGAAATAAGCTATATCTCCATTATTTCCTGTCTGATCCCTTCAGTATGCCTGCAGTCCACTATGAAGTGGGCTTTTTGTTACTGTAGTGTTCTGTTGTGGTAATTTTTCCTTCTGAGAATAATTGCCATCTCTCACCTCTCTCAGATTCTGTCCAAACGCGACACTGTGTTTTATGGTGGAGACTCAATCTCCATGCTTGACTACATGATCTGGCCATGGTTTGAACGTCTGGAACCATTCCAGCTGAAGGAGTGAGTACCTTGCCTAGCTTCTCGTGTGTACAGAAGTGTCTCAGTATAAACATTCTTTGCTTACGCTCTGCAGGCACTCTTTGGGAGCTGCTGAAGAAAGTGTATTGTGTTACAGTTTGGGGGAAGCATCTTCTCAAAAGAGAGATAAGTTTTTCAGGGTCTTCTTTAAACAAGCTTTTTTTCATCAGGTCTGTTTTCCTACCAAATGATTTTGACAGGTCTGGAAGAAGTGGTCAAAACACAGGACTTTCTCTCCATCCCTAACATTATAGATGAAAATGGTCTTTATTTGAAGGGGATGGAAGCATGGAGGCCTAGGTTCAAATTTCTTGGTCCAAAGCCTCAGACTTGATATGCAGTCTTCTGCTCCTTTTTGGAAATCCCAAGTTGACAAAGGAGTGTGAGTTGAACCATTATTGGTCCTGGTGCCTGAACCATTCTTGAAGAATAAGGCAGACACAGGGAATCCTTAGCATTGAAACTCGGGCACTGTAAAATGAGGGCTCTGCAGGTGGGTTGCTAACCTAATTTCTCTCCTGTGTGGTCCTTGATTGAAAAGGGAAATGTTACAAGCAATATAGGAGCTTAGGTCTAGAGATGTTAAAGTGTTTGAATGACTGAGGATCTGAGCCATTGTATTATAATAGATTAAGAAAAGATGCTTTCTGGATAAGGGGTAGGAGTTATTACCTGGAGAAGTTATGCATTAACTAAACTCGGGAGTTGGAAATTGTAATGCAGAGTACTTGGGTCAGTCTGCCAGTAGGGAATGAAAACAGCTATTTATACTGTTAAGCTTTTGGTTTGCCACATGGTGGGGTTTTTTTTTTTCAAATGTGTCTTGAGTGGGTTTGTGGACTCAGTCTTCAATAGACTGCATCTGCATTTTGAGCTGCTGGGTTGCAGGGCAGTACAAACTGCACGCCTATCTTTGTGTGCAAGAGAGAGGAGAGGAGTTTGCGGGTTGTGGAGGAGAACTCAAACGCTGCACACAGCACTTGCTTCAAAAACCACCACTGACAAAGCAATTCCAGAGGGAGGCAGTGGTGTGCAAGCCTCTGCCCTCAACTCAGCAGATGATGAGAAATGTGTCTTTTGCAGCGGGGGTGACATAAGCCAATATCTTGCACAATAAGTGCTCGTTTGTGTTTTTGCTCAGCTCTGCAGAATGCACAAGCTCTGTAAGAACTCTCACTTTGCAAATGCTAGTCTGTCTTCTGTGGTCTGATACGTGTTTCTGTCACCTGCTCTGAGCTGAGCATTATACTAGGAGGGAGAAAGCAAAACAAGCCATAAAATAGAACTGCTCAAGTTGTTTTGCTTCCTTGATGCCCTCCAAGTTTCCCATTTGCGTTACTTGGTCTGTTTCCTTTTCCTGTAGCGCTCTGAGTCACACCCCAAAGCTCCAACGCTGGATGGAGGCCATGAAGGAGGACCCTGCTGTCAAGGCTACAATGACTGACCCACAGACATTCAAAGATTACCTCCAGCTCTATTTGAAGAACAGCCCTGAGGCATGCGATTACGGGCTCTGAAGTGCCAGTAGACATATGCTTGCTGAAGTGTCGGTGCTTCTTTTCAGTGTGAGCTGTGGGGACCTGGTGTAATTTGGTGTGGGCTCTTCTTTGATTGCATTTCATGATGGGAGTAAATCTGTGCTGAGAAATCTGTGAACTCCTCTCCTTCCTGTGAAGGAGGAGGATGTGCTGGCTTCAGACAGGAGATGGAAAGTCATTGCTGGCCATGTATATTGCATGAAGGAAAATGTTGGTTTTACTCAGAGGTGATGATGTTCTCCTATCTCTGGCATCTTTGCAGGCATTGCTGGTGGGCAGTCCCTGAACTGACCCTGTTACTTAAAAGTTGTAATACTGGTATCTTGAAAATAAATAAAAAGTAAACAGAATTGCCTTTAAACACAGTTTTTCCTTCCACTTTCCAGGCAGCTGTTAGTCACTGGACTGGTTGTGCAGAGAGGGGTGCGGCACTGTAAAGGCTAAAACAGATAGTGTAGTCTCCACAGTTAAGATGTGGTTACCTAGTACAAACTGTCATCCTCTGAGACAGCACCTCTGCCAAACCACTGAACTTGTAACCCTGCCCACTTATCCCTGCTGAAGGCACGTTTGCAGGGACCGTCTAATAATGGCTTCCCATTTGGGATAGATGTGCTAGGGGAGTCTGTGGTTATAATCCTTCTCTGTCCTTCTGAAAAGTAGGGTTGTGTTTACTCTAGGT